ACTACTACCACTACTACTACTACTGCTGCTACTACTACTACTACTACTACTACTACCACTACTACTACTACTACTACTACTACCACTACTACCACTACTACTACTACTACTGCTAGTACTACTACTGCTAGTACTACTACTACTACTACTACTACTACTACTACTACTACAAATCAAAGGTCTACAAAGTACTTGAAAAAAAATAGCTAAGTAAAAGTAAAAATACTTTAAGATAAAATTACTTTAGTAAAAATAAATAATGATGAGAAAAATACTTAAGTAAAAGTCCCAAAACTGTTCATAAAAATTGGGAAAGTAAAAGTACTTTTACACATTCTCTAAGAAATAAACTGTTGAATTTACTGAACCCCTTAACAGTCTTTGTTCCACTGGTGGGCAAACATGGTGCAGTTTCTGTGTTTAAACATTTCCAGACTTGAACAGAGGCATTTATTTTGAAGACTAGGGTGTCAGAAAACTTCCTCTGGTTCTTACCTTTAGTTTGGCACCTTAAAAATGTGAAAAAGGCTTTTAAAGAATTTCAGGGGCATCTGTTAGGGGTTAACACAGAGGTCTGAAACGTTTACAATTAAAAGAGACATTTCTGCTCCTTGTCTCACTAAAAAAATGTCTCCTGAGCCACAAAACAAGCTACAACTGGAATTATCAACTGGTGGTCTGTGGGTCTTTTTTGAGGCATTTTTGGGAACCTTAACGGTCAGTGGAGGTGACATCATAAAACTAAAAAATATTATTATCATTATATTATTTAATATTATACACATCAGGGCAAATAAAACGACTGTATTCATGTAAACAAGAAAAAAACTATATAGTTTGTACCACTTTTCATCAAAACTAGTACAAATGAACTATTCAGGCATATTTTTTTAATTATTTAAAGGTAACTAATGGATTTGAGAGAAAGATCATAGAAAGAAATTGGAATATTTACCATATTTTTCAGACTATAAGCCGCGACTTTTTTCCTGAACTTTGAACCATGCGGCTTATAGTCCGGTGCGGCTTATACATGGATTTTTTTCTTCAGCCACCAGGTGGCTCTTATGCTCCATTTGCTTCAACCACTCACTTCAAAAAAAGAAAGGAAAAAAGAAGAAAAAAGCGATCCCTTCTAGAGCCAACTGTTGTACCAAGAAGCAGTGATTTAAAGATAGTCAATGGCCAAAAACTCATAAAAGGGGATAAAACAGACATTTTTTCACAGTGGAATCTGACTGATAAAAACTTTTGAACTTAATCCAGGACCAGTTTGTGAATAAACGTTGAGTGAAGAGCTGCTGACTTTTTTTTCCGCATTGCACTCRCCGGGGAAGGAATCCCATGCAGTGACGTATGCTGGAGCYGGAGGGCTTTCCCAGCAGCTCGGCTCGGGGTTTCTCGGGGGAACTATGAAAGGTCAGTGCGAAAACAAACGCCGAACAACCACGTGACAGCGCGTCGACCGGTCTACAGCCGAGCGACCTTACTGCCAGCTTAGCCGGAGGTGTAGCATCATTTTGTTTTAGCTAGTAGCAGAAACGACACGACGGATCTTCGACAGACACGATATTGGACAGTATGCAGGCCCACATCACGGATTTGGTGAAAGCAGCCATCAAGAAAAAAAACTCAATTCCTGCTGTTATTCCTGGAGGTACAACAAAG